ACATCAGCTACAGACTTCAAAGCCAAATTATCCAAGTGTTCAGTTTGGCTTCCAGATGCACCACAGGGATGTCACTGTTATTTCTCCCTCCTTTATTGATTGATTGATTGATTGCATTTATACCCCACCCATCTAGTCAATTGACTACTCTGGGTGGCTTTAATTTTAATCCTTTAATCCTTTAATTTTACCTCCACTGTTTGGCTTTGGTCATGGACTTCCTTGCACATATGCACCTACTTTTACATATAATGCTGCTACTCTTCTCTTCCTGCTTAGTTTGGTCCTTTTGAACAAGTTATATGCTTCAGTTACCACATTCCAATCATGAACTCCATTCCACCAGCTTTTGGTACTGCCTATTAGATCATATTTACCTGCTTCTGTTGGCAAATTCCCACCTCAACTCCCTGATCCAAGTGCCACATTCTAACCATTGGTCTACTGTGATGCTTTCTCTTGCTCGTCAAGACGTAACGTGCCAGCATATGTAGCCTTCTCTTTATATAAAGTGAGAAGGTTCTGGTGCTCTTTCACATACTTTGAAAACAACTGGCCACCTTTATCAGTAGGTCTCCTTCAACCAGATAATGGCTGAATGGCTTGATAGGTTTTAGTACCTCAATTCAAAGAGGATGTGTTAGGTGGTGACTTCTTATTTACTGAGAACATGTACCATCCATGGAAAATAAGGCCTTTCCTTCCTTGAGCTCTTATTTACTGAGAACATGTACCATCCATAGAAAATAAGGCCTTTCCTTAGTCCCTTGAGTTTTGTTCTTTTGCTTTTTAATATCTTTTCATTCTCATTCTTTGGCTGGGAGTCATGCTGATCTTTAGCAGAATAGATCTTGGCTCTTCTTCAAACCTTGACACTGAAAGAACTGAGTCTGGGACAGAATATTTCCCTGTATGAGCTCCAAGGCTGGGAAACTGAGATAATAAGGTACATCATTTTTCACTTGTTAATGTTTCCCTTTAATGCTTCACATATGACAGTTTCCAGCTGTGGCAGCCAGTGTTGTTCCAGTTCTGTTCTCTATTCTCTTGAAATGCCCTTGATGCTTCCAGAATTAATGACTAATGGTGTAGAACTCTGGTACAGTGGTACCTCGACTTACGAACGTAATCCATATTGGGACAGTACGTCAAAATTAATCCGTATTGGGACGGTGTTCGTACGTCAAAATGTTCATAAATCGAAGCACTATTTCCCATTGAAATGCATGGGAACGGGATTAATCCATTCCAGCATTTTAAAAAAATACCAAATATAAAAATAAACAGAGCAAGTCTCATGTTGTGACTGCAAAAAAATACCAAATATAAAAATAAACAGAGCAGGTCCCATGTTATTACTGCAAAACATACACACACAAACAAATCCAAAAACAAGACACACACACACAAATCCAAAAACAAGACAAAATATTCATAAATCGAAGCACCATTTCCCATTGAAATGCATGGGAACGAGATTAATCCGTTCCAGCATTTAAAAAAAACATACCAAAAATAAAAATAAACAGAGCAAGTCCCACACTGGGACTTAATAAATAAATAATAAAATCCAAAAACAACACAGCACAGAAACATAACCCCCCCCAGTCCAAACCCACAAAAACAAGACAACACAGCACAGAAACATAACCTCCAGTTCAAACCCACCCTCCAAAACCCACCAAGAACAGTTTTTTAAAAAGGAAAAAGCAGCACCTTAACAGTCCAAAGCCTCCTCAGCCTTCCAGGCTTCCACTGCTGCTGTGACAGCCGCTGGCGGGAGGCTTGAGCCTGGCGGATGTGCTTCGGCTGCTCGCCTCCCAGCTCGCCTTCCACTTGCTCAGCGCCACCCTCCATGGGCCGATGGCGGGAAATTCAAATGGCGGAGGGCGGCGAGGAGCGAGCAGGAGGCAAGCTGGGAGGCGAGCAGCCAAAGAAACCCAGCCAGCTTAAGCTTCTCGGCACTCCGCTGCCTCCGCCGCAGCCGGAGGCGAGCAGCCAAAGTGCCAGGCCAGCTCAAGCCTCCCGGTGCTGGGCTACCCCCACTGCATCTCTTTCCCTAACTGTTGGGGCAAAAGAGCTACAAAGAAGCAGCCTCTTCGCCACCAACAGATAGTACAGTAAATTCAAATTCCCCCCCTTTCCACCTGCCTTTTTGTGTTTGTAAGTTGAAGCTCCGTTTGCAAGTTGAAGCAAAATTTTGCAGACGGAGCAGTTTGTAAGTTGAAATGTTCGTAGGTAGGGACATTTGTAAGTCGAGGTTCCACTGTATATGCCTGACCTGTACACCTCAGTTTTGGATAGAGGTGTTGCATGTTGGAGGAGACTAATTACTAGGCAAATAATCAAAGTGTTGCAGAAACTGGCCTGGTAGAAACACTGTAAATAAACATTAAAAAAAAATCTTAGAATTGAAGAGCTGGAAGGAACCTTATGGATCATTGAGTCCAGCCCCTGTCAAGGAGGCCCAGTGGGGAATTGAACTCCCAGCCTCTGACTTTGGAGCCAGGAGATGACTCTTCAGTTGTAGGTACATATTTGCAGCTAGTGACTTCGTTTCAAGAGATGCTGTGAATCCACTCCAGATTTTAGTATGCTTTTTACAGAAATTATCCAATATGCTGAACCTATTTCATGGACAGGGCACAGCATCTTAGATAGCTCCTGTAAAATGGCAAACTAAAACTTTGAGGGTATTCACAACACCACTGAAATTGAAGTCATCAGTCACCACAGGTTGTAGGAGGCTCAAAAAAAAGCAGAATGAACCTGAGTCAAACATAATGGAAATATCTAGCTCTGGTAGCTTTAGAAAGAGGAAATTCATAATGTAGGATGCCTGAAATCATCTGCTAACCCACTAACTCATGCCTACATAGAGATCAATCTCCATAGAAGAGAACATCGGTATGCATTGTTGCATGTGAACTGTGTTGCAAAGTCTGTGCATAGGTGTGTCTGTGTGGGGATGAGTCTGTTTAGTTACTGCTGGGATCCAGTCTGTTTCTGCAGCTGTCCAGCATTGTGTGGTTTCCCCAGAAAGTGTGGAGCTTCCATAGAATTACAGCAGGGGATGTGGCACATGTATACACGATGTTGACCTTGAATTCCAAGCCAAAATCTAACATAAGTGCTCTCATTCTTCCCTGTCACTTGTCTTCAGGTTAGTCAATATCCTTACATGTCTGCTCAGACAGCTGAGTTGTGCAAGTATATTCTCTGACTTTGTTCTCCTCCATTAATCCACCCATTGCTTTTGCTCCCTTTTCTATAAATATTCACATTCAGCTTCTTCACATATGAGTATCTGGCTGGTTGGGATTTCCCACCCCCCCTTCTTTGTGTCTCTCACAGTTTCTTCTCTGAATTATAGCAGTGGAGTTGTCTCACCTTTCTTCTTGAGGCATACTTTCCCAACATTCAGAAGCAAACTCTTCCCTCTCCTTGTGCTGCTTTATCTGAACTTCTGTGAGAGTAATAGATGCTTATTGATTATCGTGATATAACTGGTAGGATTACGGTTCCAACTATGGAGTGGAATTGGAAGAATGATTAAAACTAATCCCTGCTGTACTCCCGCACCATAATGGTGTTCATTTTTGAGACCATAATTTTTGACACCAGAAGCAATACTTTTATTGTTGTGTTTTTGCAGGACATAATGGTATTTTCTCAGCCACGTCCAATCCTCCTTAGATTGATAAGCATCATGTGAGTTTCCAACCTGAGTACATTAAATTTCTTGTAGGTGAGGGAGGATTTTATGAAGTTCTGGCCAGCCAGCCAAATGAATTCTTCATTTGTTCACTTAGCTGAACAGACTTTTAAATATGACAACAGGTGACATTAAAAGTAATAATCAGGACAGGGGTAGAGAAGAAAGTGGAATTTCACATCCTGGATGTGGTCTTCCACAATAATATATATAGAGGAGAGTTATAGAGTTATAGAGTTTTACATACATACATACATACATACATACATACATACATACATACATACCACACACACACACACATACATACATACATACATACATACATATGCACATATGTATATATACCGGTATATGTACATATGTATATATACATACATACACACACACACACACACACACACACACACATATAATTGAGAGTCTGATTTCTCAAATACGACCATCTACCATCTACCTGAATGACATATTTCCAACACTAACAGGCTGTCAGCTCTAATATATATATAGTTTTGTCTGGAATATACAGAATCCAGAGGAACCACAAACTTAAGTCCAGATGACCAGTCATAAAACAAAGCAAATTAATTTGCTAATTATGTGAAATGATAAACGCTCCTACTGTGTACTTAGATGTTTTCAGGAGTTAAGTCTGAACAGTTAAGGACTTATTTTCTCTAACTACAGGGTATCCATAACATCAGAAACATGTTGACCAATTAATTGCTTCTTGTGGAGTGCATAGAGTTCAATTACTTTGTTGAAAGTATTACAGAAATATAAGAGAGGGAAGGAGGCTGGAAGATGGGAACAAGGCAAGTCTCAGCAGGGCTGAGAGAAATAGGGGAAGGGGGAACTGGTTTTAAGCATCACACCCTGTGGTGAAGCCAGCAGATTATTCTTCCTTGCCAAATTGCCTTGATGCTTCTTGTTTTATTTTGCAGGAGGACATGCCCTCCTGTTAATTTAAATTCCTTCTCTTTACCTTGAATGACATTGCATCAACAAACTAAGTATTACATTCTTAAGCCAATGCAAAATTAGAGGTAAATAAACAAAGATCAATTATGACAATAGAATCTTTTCATAGAGGCATACGCCCATTTTTTTATATTGCTCAGTTACACCTCTCTAAGTATTTCTCAACAGATTTCATGAATTCATTGCAAATTCAGCCAACAGCTGCAAGGATTGTTTTTCCTTCTAGTTCCCTTAGGAGATGCTGTTTTCATACCCCTGGCCTGTGTCACAAAGTTACCTGCTTAAGCCCTCCCTCTTTTCTAAGGTGGTGATGATGAAATGGATTTTGACATTGAAAAGAGCACTGGCAGCATAGTCATTGCAAGAGCTCTGGATGCAAAGAAAAGGTCAAACTACAACCTCACAATAGAAGTCACCGATGGATCACACATCATCAGGACACAGGTCAGCATCCACAAAGCCTCATCCCGAGTCTTCTATAATCTGTGGATAATGTAATGATGAAAATGGACCTTAGACACAAAGGTAGAATTCTCGCTTACTTTGATGGTTCCAGAATGCTGGACATCAGTATGTTGGTTGAATTGCCTATATCATAAGGCCTTGCAATTTAGATACTATTGGCATTTCAGATGTACCCAATTCATATCCTGTGGATGAGCTGCAACAAAATCAGTGGGTGAAACACTGTTACTTAGCATAGTAAATTGCACTATAGGAGACCTGTTTAATCAGCTGAGACTTGGTAAGTCAAATCTTCCATTAAGTTCTAGACTAAATGGACTTAATCTGGACTTAGTTGCAACTAGCTACACTGAACAACAAGATTTCAGCCATTTTTTTTCTTTTTATGCGAGCATTTTAGTAGACCAAAAACCAAAACTCAAAATTCAGTTTCTTTCTTTATTCCTTGGCCAGTTCATTCTTTAGGCAGGTTCAATGATCTAGATTATCAAATAATTTTTTTAAGGGAGAGGAGCACTTTTTCTTACAGATGTCCTCCTTTCTTAAATTTTCTCTATAACAAATGCTCTACCTCTTTCTCTAGTACATATTCAAAGAGGTTCCTAGGACACCATTAAACCTCTTCAGAATTGATATAGTTGCCAAGCCATTATTAATTCTGTTAGCATACAGACAAATATTAGGCCCCCCCCCAAAGCTGCACAGTTCCAGGACACCCCAAAAGAAGCAAATAGCAAATCACTTCTGTGTATTAGCTGCCTCCAAAATCCTGGTAAGAGTCAAAATTAACTTGAAAGCACACTATTATTATTCATTAGCAAGCAGCAATGTCTGTGTTGGCTTGGGCATGTCATGGGAATGGTTGATGGTCGGATTCCAAAAGATCTCCTGTATGGAGAATTAGTGCAGGGAAATCGCCCCAGAGGGAGCCCACAGCTGCGATACAAGGATATCTGCAAGCGGAATCTAAAGGCCTTAGGAATGAATCTCAACAGATGGGAAACCTTGACATCTGAGTGTTCTGCCTGGAGGCACGCGGTGCATCATGGACTGTCCAAATTTGAAGAGACCCATGTCCAGCAGGCCGAGGCAAAGAGGCATTCACGAAGGCAGCAAAATCAGGGAGGTAGATGGGGTACAGATTGGATTTGTCTTCAGTGTGGAAGGGATTGTCACTCTTGAATTGGCCTTCTCAGCCACACTAGACGCTGTTCCAAGTCCTCCATACAGAGCACGTTACAATAGTCTCTCGAGACTGAAGGATGCCTAATCTAATCTAATGAAAATTAAAGAGGTTCAAAACAGCCTAATATTTATATAACAGACATAACTATATTTCCATTAGCATTTTATATATCCTTTCCACCATTCCTTAATGCTGGAAAGGATACATAAAAAGTTTACCAAGAAAATTCTCTCTCTCTTTCTCTTTCTAAAATATTTTACCCTGCCTTTCTCCTTTAAAAAAGACTCGGCAGCTTACATTAGTAAAAGACAATATTTAAAATCTAGAAATAGTAAGTATTCAACTACTGAAAAAAAAATCAAGCAAATACCACACTAGAATCGTAACCAAAATAAACACAAAAACCACATTCAAAGCAACAAAGAGCAAACTCTGAACATTTCTTTTCTGGTAACCATTTGAATTACATATAATGTGTGAAGCTGTCTCAGTAATAAGCTGATGGTATTCTAAATGTCTTAGAAAATTGTTTTGCCACCAGGAGCAGCAAAGCATCTTCTCACACCTTGGCTGACATATACCATCAGCCTCCAGTAACTACTTTCTCTGTTTTCCTTGGCACTGATTATTCCTGTTGAGTATGTCAGTGAGCCTACTATTGTAAAATCAGGGCAAGCTGAATTTCACCAAAGAAAGAAAATTATTACATCAGGCTGTTCCTTTTTTCTAAAAATTTGGTTGCCTGGTGGAAAACAGTGAGAATAAATAAAAGGAAGCGCTCAGATCTGTTTTCAGCACTTAACAGCAAGCTTAATTGGAAGGTTTATGTTTCCACTTACAAAGGAAAATATTTGCAGATATGATTCTATGTTATTTATGATATATGTATACATTTTCTACTATTTCATTTTTATCTGTATTCTGCCTGTTTCCTGGAATAAAATTAACAGGAATTGATCTACACAGCAATCTGCAGTTCAGAAAATTACTTTCGATAAACAGTGCTACTAATCTAATTATCACCAAACATTCCCACCTTTTTGCTCATTTTGTTCCCCTAACTGCTGGTTCTCATTGTAACTATTTTCTTCTCCTCGCCCTTTGCCACCAGAGTCCTTGAATTTTTATCCACACTTCCATATAATCTGATTGACTCTGATGACCCATGTGACTTTACTTCTCATGAGGGTCTATGATAATACCACATTACAGTAGATGTAAGGTCATTGCATCAGAGCTGACACTTATGCATAAGATCCTTAACACTTGTCCTGCCCCCCTTTGTGCTAGAAGTGCTCACAGCTGGTTTTTTGTTTGCAGAATGCATAATATACAAGTAAGTAGCTCAAGAGAACACACAACTGGGATAGAACATGAAGGGTCTTTGGTGATTGCTGGAAGCACCTGCTTCAGATATGTGTTTATATGTTCATATGGCAGGGCATGCACATCCAAGCCCTGCAACCCCTGGTACGCCAAAGATGAATCCTCAGCCACCCAAAGGCAGGCATCCCTGCAAAGACATTTCCGTGGCATCAATGGCATGCTTGTCTAGGAATTTCCTTCGTACCTGGCATTACTCTTAAGTTCTGTACCCCATACTTTCTCTCAACTCTTCCACAGGCCTATATCCGTGTGATTGATATTAACCAGCATGGTCCCCAGTTCTTGGAACAACAGTATGAGATGCGCATTCCAGAAGACACACGGCCTGGGACTGAATTCCTTCGGGTTAGTGCAAGAGACAAAGACCATGGGAAAGGGCTGATCTACACCCTTCAGAGCGCAGTGGATCCCAGAAGTATGAAGGTTTTCCACATGGACCCAAGCACTGGGGCTCTCATGACCAGGGCAGGTCTCAACTCTTTATCCATGCCACTGCATACCTTGATAATAATGGTACGTGAATCACAGAAAGGCAGCGACTTGTTTATCTATTTCATGTACATCCTGCTCTATCCCATGGGCTCAAAGTGGCTTACAGCAAACGAAACCAAATGGTTTGGAGGATCAAAGAGGCCAAATGAAGTTAAGATAGCATTATAAGTGTCAAGTTTATGTTTAACAACCTATAAAATATCCAGACCACAAAACCACCCAAAGGATTGTGATATTTTGCAGGCAGAAACCTGCAAAATACCTATATGTTGAAGTTTGTTCTATGAATGAACATGTCGCTTACAGGTGCCAAATTAGATCAGCCTCTCTTTTTTGGAAATACGAATCAGTTCACTTTAATGTTTGTGCCTCGCCCATTATTATGGTCTATACATCTTTCACCCTTCCTTTCATGTTTTCTTTTTCTATTTCTATTCCATTTTCTCTCATTTGTTTTATTTCAAACTAAAAATTAAATGAATGAAACACAGAAGAAGGAGGTTTTGCAAAGTCGACTGGCCTGGATGAACAAGAGAGCTCATGTCAACGTGTGATGGCAGTAGTACGTCAGGATTCTGCCCGATAGATATCTAGATCTTAGAGCTGTAGAGCCAGAAGCAATGTAAAAAGTCATCCACTTCAACCTCCTGCCAGGGCAGGAAACTGTCAATCTTAAGGAAAGTTATTCCTAAGTCCTAGGTGCTCTGTGTCTCTAGCAGGACTACCACAGTCCAGCTCATGTGCTGCATGCACAAAAGGGATTCACATGTTGAATTGTGGATAGGGCAATGCAACTGGACCTGCTCCTGATACTAGATGACCAAGCTAACTCTGCCTTCCCAAGTGAGCAAAGGTGGCTGAATGTCTGAAGAGGAACTCCTATATGTGATTTTATCTGCTCCAGTGTAGAGGTTATTTGGACACTCATGCTTGATAGATGCCTATTACGATGAGATTTGTTTAGCTATGTGGATGCATATACAGCTCAGTGTTAGATATCTGGCTGCAGAGCCAGAAGCTGGGAGTCTGATCCCCACTGTGCCTTTTGGGAGAAGAATCGGCTAGCTGGCAAGCTGCACAGACCCAGGGTGCCCCCAGAAGTGGGAAACCACTTCTGAGTATTTGCTACCTAGAAAATGCCAAAAAGGGTTGCCATAAGTCAGAATTGACTTCAAGGCAAATGATTGTTATTAAGGCAAGAAATTATCTCAACTGTTAGTGGTAAATGGCCATTGGAAAAAGGGGTACAAGGTGAATTCAGATAGACAGTTACATTTCAATTTCAAATGTGGTAGTGATGGTTTCTGGATCTCTGGCCAGAAAGTAGTTCTCTATTGAACTTATGCATTGCAAGCGATAGTTGAGGTTTCCATACAACAGTTTGTAAGTATTGGTTTGTGGTTCTTATGTGAACTGTGTTGGGTGTTACACAAATAAACATCTTACAGGCATTTCATTTGACTGTTACTCTACTTTCCTAAGTGAGGATGACCAATACTGACAACATATGAGGCAGGTGTGACTTTTGGATCTTTTTTCAACTCATGAGTTTCTTTAGGAAGATATCAGTTGCTTTAATTTACCTTTCCATAGTCAATCAGTGTCAAGATGACACCAGGTTAGAGAGACCCACATTATTCTAATTGTCCTGGTGTGAGTAAAACCCAAGATGGCCAAATATGTCTATGGTTGCGGAAAAGTTTCCTGCCTGGTACCTTCCTCACACCTTAGTCCATTCTGAGCAAGCAGTACTTCCAAGGAGTTATCAAAAATCCCAAATATTACGTGCTTTGCTTCTCACGCCAACCCTAAAAGGTAAGGATCCCAAAAATTCCCACAAAACACATAAGCTTCCAGTAGATAATTGAGACAAGCCCGGTTTTATTGCCATTAACCCTCTCAGTCTCCAAAAGAAGCAAAAACTGTTTTAAAATTATTTTATTAAAGGAGGTAAAAAAATTAAAAAGCAAAACTTCCAAAGAGTTTCAATCAGTACAGAATAGTCAAAGGCTTCTGGAGCAGAATAAGCTTTCAAAAGGTTTGAGCCAAGAACAATTCAAGAACAGTCTTACAGGAAAATATCCTGGCATAGCTTCAGCATAGTTCCAGAGCATATACAGAATGAAAGTTATGTAGTGGAACAGCAGATAAGCACATAATTTTCCTAAGAGATAACTAGGCTATGTAGGCTATGTAACAAGTAATTTCTATCCCCACTTTTATACCCTTAATGCCAGTTTCCAGACTCTTCCAGAAGATCTGCCAATCAGGTGCTATGTTATTCTGAACTTAAGAAGAGAATAACTTTTTTTTCTCCTCCATTAACCCCCCTGAAACCATTCTGCTAATTAACTCTGTACCAAGAAGTGAGCTCAGTCCAGTCCTGAAGCTTCCTTTCTCACAGAGTAAAGGCACAGGTGGTTGCTTCCTCCCAGTTACTAATGGGCACTTTCTCCCCCTTCTCCTGGTCAGGTCATACTAGCCATGAAGCACAAACCCTGATTCTCTAGAAGTGCAACAGAAACTATGATCCCTTATTTTTGCAATTTCTTGACAGCCATGTCCCCAAGAATAGAACTGGCTGCTGTATCATTCCAGCCAAGATGAACAGAGGAAGATGTTTTCTAGTGGCTGGTAGTTTATTACAGAACCTAACTGGAAATGCTTAAAGGAGATTATTGTATGTGATGGTTCTGTGCTGCAAAAACTTGTTGGATGTACTTGTTGGATATAGAAGAATTGCAGTAAATGATATTGATTTGGAGGGGGGGAATAAAAGATCAGAGAATTACAGCGTTTATGGAATGTTAAGTTTTGATCCGACAGACAAACTATTTGTAGTTTAAGAGTCTTTTGCTACTTCACTTGTTTTCTCCTTTGAATCAAGAGACTGACTGATGATTCAGGGAAGTGACACATGCCCCTCTCTCTTCTGCTACTCAGGTGCGAGACCAGGAGGGCCCAATCAAGCGAGACTTTGCTAGAGTTGTTATTCATGTAGAGGACTGTAACAGCCATCCTCCCCAGTTCACCAGCCTCCACTATAATGCAGAAGTTTTGGATGAAGCTCCAGTAGGTACAGAAGTCCTTCAAGTCCGAGCCCTCGATCAAGATCAAGGCATTAATGCTGAAGTCCACTACTACCTTGAGGCAGGTGAGGGACTTTCATCTTTCATTATATATGCTTACAATTGCTTGCATCAATCATGAGTAAGGTTGTGTATGCTAGCTAAAGATGCTATCCTTTCCCAATGCTCTATTGTATGCAAGACTAGCATAAAAAAAAGCTATATAAACAGGAATGTAAAGTGCCTTGTATCCTTTTCCACCCCCATGCTTAAAGGCTATTTGTGAAGTAAAGAAGGTGCCAAGGGGCTTCTCAACTACTATCATAATCTCTAAAGTCATGAGCCTTTTTGCTTTTTCTCTTCTTGTGTTTATGCTCTTTTAAGATCGTAGACTTACCTACAACAGCTGATCCAGATCATACATAGCCACTTAGTCATGTCTTGCTGCAATACCTCCTGTTTGTAAAGATGTGGTTCAGACTCTCTGAATCTTGCAATGAATTGTCATAGAATCTAATGTATAGAAAGGTTGTCTTTGTATCTACAAGCAAAATCTTTCATTTTGTGGTACAAGAACTTCAGGCTGTCCCTCAAAGAACAGAAGTTAAGCCAAGAGGGAAAGGTGTTTTCCTGAGCATTTATTTATTTAGTAGTAGCAGCCAATATAGCACTGTGTTGTCTTTGTCTCTTCCTAATATTATAATAATACATACGTACACGGACCATATCATGTTCACCAGATCCATTTCACTGCTCCTGATAAAAGGGAATAAGCAACTTGCTTTAGACAGCTTGTTGAACAATTGCAGAAACACGTCCAGGAACATGAGCATATTTCCTGGATTAGTTCAAGTTGATAGGTCTTTGGGCTGCTGTGCATTACAACGCTTTGTTCCATATCAGTTTTCACTTCCTCTTATCTTCAAACCATGAGAAGTGAACTGTAAGAGAGATGTTTGTTAACCTTTCTATCTGAAGGTTGCACAAGGCTTATAGAGTTTCACATTCTGATCTCTTTTTAAGGAAAGAGTAGCATCCCAGTGAAGGAATGGTTACTTTTCTCTTGAGTAGAATGCTTTGGCACCAGACATCATTCAGACATAAGTTGAATTAATGAGGCTTACTTATGAGTGATTTAAGTCAGAAGCAGCTCCCTCATTATCCCCTTTAATTTGCCAGCTGTCTGTAGATGGTAATACTGTGGTACTCTAATACTTCGGATGTGTGGTGCAGTCCCCCAGTGAACACCCCAAAGTACAGAAAGATGTGTCTTAGAATGATTTGTAACGTTGCATGCTGCCTGAAGAAGGTGTGGCTGGGAGGGACCTTTTTGGGTTGAAGTGACCATCAATCTATCCACCGCTAACCAAAATTTCCTCCACTGCCTCTGCATTCAAAGAGAGACCCACCTCTCTGTTCTGGGTCCCCCCCTTGAGTGTGTTTAAGTCAGTTGTATGCTGAAAGCAGTCAGGTTTGTTAGTTTGCTGTAAATAAATTAAAAATAAATAAATAAAACATTTTTATTCTGTCTCTTACAAATATCTCAGAGTGCATTACTAAGACTGCAAGTGCCAGTTGGTAAGAAAAGACATAGACTGCTCTGAGGAACATGAAGCTATTCTGCTCTGTGAATCCCTGCATTTCTGCTATACAGTTAGAGGGATTTCACCAAAAATTCTCCAAAGATTTTATCATTGCGCGCATGCACACACACACACACACACACACACACACACACACACACACACACACACAGAGAGGGAGAGAGAGAGAGAGAGAGAGAGAGAAATATGTCTACTTTGTAATTTACCACCTTTGTTGCTGAGATGCAAACCGGTGAGTGGTACAGTAATTCAAATGTTGATTTGCTCTCTACATTTAAATTTTCCTTATTTATTTTCAGGGAACAATGGAGAGTTTTTTGCTATCAATGAGTTATCTGGAATTATTACAGTTTCTAAGAAGCTCCATCAGTGCAAGCAAGAAAAATTCACACTCACTGTAAAAGCAGAAGATCAAGGATTTCCCCAAATGAAGGATTCGGCTACTGTGAGCATTCATGTAAAGCCCTCTGACAGCACACCTCCAAAATTTACAAAGGAGGAATATGTCACAGAGATCAGTGAGTCTGCTATCATAGGCTCTTCTGTCATTCTTCTTTCAGCCACAAGCCTTTCAAGTGTTACTTACGAAGTAAAAGAAGGAGATGAGGATGGTGTATTTTCAATGAACTACCAATCTGGCCTTGTTTCTACAAGAAAGAATCTGGATTTTGAGCAGACTTCATTTTATCAGCTGAAAATCCGTGGGACCAACATGGCAGGATCATTTGTACATGTTCCAGTGTTTATTTATGTCACAGACGAGAATGACAACGTTCCTGTATTTGATAAGCCTTCCTTTGTTGGCTGGATCAGTGAGAACAGTCCATTGGGCAGCATGGTTATGGATGAAAACAATACCCCACTAGTGCTACAGGCGTCAGATGCTGACCAAGATTCTAATGCTCTGCTGGTCTATGAAATTTTGCAGCCAGAGGCACTCTTGTTTTTCAAAATAGATCCAAGCATGGGCACTCTTACTACACGTGCTGATATTGATTATGAACAGACCCCAGTTTTCCATTTTACTGTTCATGTCCATGATAATGGCAATCCTGTTTTATTTGCTTCAGAACCCACTGAGGTGACTGTTTACATCAAGGATATAAATGATTGTCCTCCAGTATTTACCAAAGATGTTTATGAACTTTCTGCAGATCTTCCTGTCCATCATGGTATGGAGCTTTTTGCAGTTCATGCAGAAGATATAGACTCCAGGGTAATTTACAGTATCATAGAAGGGAATCGTGACAACATCTTCTATATCCACCCCAAAACTGGTGTCATCTCTGTGCTGAATGCTACTGCCTTGGCCAGCTTTCATGAGCTCACGGTCAGAGCTGGGGATGACTTATATACGACTAACACTTTGGTTAGACTTAATTTTATTCAACCCCAAGACAGCCCTTTAAGGTTTGATCAAGATTTATATATAGCAACAGTGAAGGAAAACTCAACAGATGTTCAAACTCTGGCTGTACTTGGTGTGACTGGGAATCAGTTGAATGAGCCACTCCTTTACTCTGTCTTGAATGGCACAGAGAAGTTCAGGATGATCGAGACATCAGGAGTACTCCAAACCAAGGGCATGGCATTTGATCGTGAAACCCAGGACATACATGAGATTGCAGTAGAGGTAAAGGACATGAGAAATCCACCCAGGGTATCTCAAGCAATAGTAAAAATATATGTGGATGATGTTAATGATAACTCCCCTCACTTTGAACATGTGCCTTATTATACAACAATACAAGAGGGTACTGAGCCAGGCGATGTGGTCTTTCAGGTTTCTGCAACCGATGAGGACTTAGGAAATAATGCCATCATTTTTTACTCCTTTGCGGAAGACTACAAGTATTTCTGGATTGACCCTTATATAGGGGACATCTCACTCAAGAAACCCCTTGATTATCAAACTCTAAATAAATATACACTCCTGGTTATTGCCAGAGATGCAGGTGAGCCTCCTTTGTATGTTGAAGAAGAGGTTCTAATCACCGTGAGAAATAAATCCAACCCTCTGTTCCAAAGCCTTTTTTATACTGTGAGAGTGCCTGAAAACATTCCGCTCTATACACCGATTGTCCATATCCAGGCTCGGAGCCCTGAAGGCCTGCGCTTAATATACAACATTGTGGAAGAAACAGCCCTTAAACTGTTCAATATTGACTTCAAAACTGGTGTGGTTATGGTTGCTAGCCAACTGGACTATGAATTGAGTACAAAACACACCTTTACTGTCAGAGCCACAGACACAGCAATGGGTGCTTTTTCAGAAGCAACGGTAGAAATAGAGGTTGAGGACATTAATGACAATTTACCTGTATTTTCTCAGGTGGTTTACACTGCTTCTGTCTCTGAAGGTATGCCAGCAAGGACTCCTGTTATACAGCTCTTTGCTACTGATAGAGATTCAGGGAGGAACAAGCTTGTTTCATATCAGGTCTTGGAGGACCGTTCAAACATTTCCCAGCTCTTCAGTGTTGATTCCAGCACAGGAGAAATAACAACAACTCAGCCTCTAGATTATGAAGCCAGCCATGAATTTCACATTAAAGTACGTGCCACAGATCATGGGGTGCCTCCTCTCAGCAGTGAAGCCCTTGTAATTGTCAGTGTATTGGACATCAATGACAACCCACCTGAGTTCAGTCAGCTCCACTATCAGGCTAATGTGAGTGAAATGGTCACCTGTGGCCACACAGTGATCAAAGTCCAGGCTTTTGACCCTGATAGTAGAGACACACTCAGGTTGGAATATCTGATTCTTTCAGGGAATGAGGAAAGACATTTCACCATCGACAGCACTTCTGGAATAATTTCCACCCTGAATCGTTGCAGAAGGGACCTGGAACCTTTTTACAATCTCAGAGTCTCAGCTTCAGATGGAGTATTTAAAACCACTGTTCCAGTGTATATCAATACCACAAATGAAAATAAATATAGCCCATCATTTCAGCAGGACGTTTATGAAGCAGTATTAGCTGAAAATGCTAAGGTAGGAACCCGAGTGATTGAGTTGTCAGCTATTGACCCAGATGATGGTTCCTATGGCACTGTAGATTATACCATCATAAACAAACTTGGTCAAGAGAAATTTGTAATTGATGAAGAGGGGCACATTGAAACCCTACAGAAACTGGACAGAGAAAATTCTACCGAGAGAGTTGTTGCTATTAAAATCATGGCCAAGGATGGTGGGGGGAAAGTAGCCTTCTGCACTGTTAAAATCATACTCACAGATGAAAATGACAACCCCCCTCAGTTCAAAGCTTCAGAATACATCTTGTCCATCCAGTCCAATGTGAGCAAAGGGTCCCCAGTCATGCAGGTGGTAGCTTATGATGCAGACGAAGGAGTGAATGCCGATGTAATTTACTCTGTTGATTCAGTCGAGGAGGTCATTGCAGAAGATGTGATTGAAATTAATACTGTCACAGGAGTTGTTAAAGTGAAAGAAAGCCTCAGCGGACTAGAAAACAGTAAAGTGAATTTTAAAGTCAAAGCTGAAGATGCCAGGCCTCCCTACTGGAATTCTGTTGTTCCAGTAAACCTTCAAGTTGTTCCAAAAGAAGTGTCTTTGCCAAGGTTTTCTGAACCGCTGTACACCTTTTCAGCATCTGAAGATCTCCCAGAGGGATCAGAAATAGGTTCAGTTAGAGCTGTGGCAGATGACCCCATCATCTACAGTCTGGTGCAGGGGTCAACTGATGAGAGCAATAAAGAAGGGGTATTTGCTTTGGATAAGCGAACAGGGGCCTTGACTATCCAAAAGGCAATGGACCATGAGAAGATGAAATGGTACCAAGTTGATGTTTTGGCTCATTGCTCACATCAAGATACTGACCTGGTCTCTTTGGTATCCATAAACATCCATGTAAAAGATGTCAATGATAACAAACCCATCTTTGAGGCTGATCCCTACAGGGCTTTTGTCATGGAGAACATGCCAGCAGGAACTACTGTGATTCAAGTCACTGCCATTGACCAGGATACTGGAAGTGATGGGCAAGTGACCTATAGCCTAGGATCAGAAGCAAGCAACATCAGAGAACTCTTCACCATTGACAGTGAAAGTGGCTGGATCATGACCCTTAAAGAGCTGGATTGTGAGGTTCAGGAAACCTACAGGTTTTTTGTTGTGGCATCAGACCACGGCAGGGAAATCCAGCTTTCTTCTCAAGCCCTAGTAGAGGTCACTGTTACTGATGAAAACGACAATGCTCCACAGTTCACCTCCAAAATGTATAAAGGTTCAGTGGTTGAAAATGCCCAAGCTGGACAGATTATTGCCACTCTCGAAACTATCGACAGTGATATTTCAGAGCAAAACAGACAAATCACATGTTACATCACTGGTAAGAGATTACCTTCCTTGACATTTTGATGAATTGGAATAAATCTTGTTTCAGATAGATTTTCTTGTCACTAAGAGGTGCCCTACTATATTAGTCTTTGTGAAGTTTCTGTAGATTTAAATGTAAGATGATGCTCATTATCAAAGAAGGGGAGCTTAATACAGCCTATTTTTAACCAGGAGCTATTGTGGGAATCATGGACATGAAAACTGCATACCATGGTTCCTGAGAAATATTGCTCTTTGAAATTAGAGACCTGCAGAACAGAGCTAGTGCTTAGTCCATTCTTGTGCCATGTTGTGGTCAATAATCATTGGGGGGGGGGCAAGTGATGGAAAAATGTTGGCAAAGTGAACTATATTGCATTAAATCATTTTAATCTTAGTCATTACTGCTGTCAATAAAATATAGCCAACTTCTTTTACAATTGCACTATGAAAGTCATTCCTAGGAAATATTCCAAAAGCCAAGGAATCAATTATTCATTAATCAGAAATATTAACGCCCATTTATTCAGCTATCCAGAAATTAAGTGGCCCATGTTTATTTCTCCATGAAATATATAAAATGCAGAGACATTCTAGATGAACTTTGCAGATGCCTCATATCAAAGAGAGAGGAAATTTATATGTCACAATAACTAGTGCCAAATAAACCAGCTGGTAGGCTGGTCATGTGGATAGTATTGTGTCTAGACACTGTTAAGTGGTTATATGATTGCTTCCAAGTATGTCCCCCTCACAGCTCAACTACTTTACTTTAGTATTATTATGACCATGTTAGTTATTCAAAATAAAATACAATAATAAATCACATATTTACAGTTTATACAAAGCTATCTGAAATTCAAATTGCAGTTAAATGTAAATTTCTAATTTGATTACTGCAGTGATTAAATTATCTATTTTCTTATTATACAAGCTCCTGCACAGAATTTCGCAACCTTACCTATAATTTACTTGAAGAATCAGATAGGAGAAGACAAAAGAGATTATTTTTCTCTGGTAGCTTATGATGTTACCAGAGAAAATTTATCATGTTCACCTGGATATTGGGTTAAAATTTGGAAAATAAGTAGGTTGTGTGAATCTTTATAAAATACGCAATACAGCAGGACATTTTCCATGGTTCCCAGCATACCAGATTGGCAATGGCAAAGACGTTGATCGTAAGGGGTATATGGGTATCTTCCCTCTAGAATGGCTGGACTCAGAGCACTGAAACTGGCAAGTGTGAAAGCTCTCAGATGTCTTGCAAGTTCTTAGTTGTAAAGATGATCTGCTGGGATTAAGATTTTATTGTGATTCCCAGCCACTGAGTAATTTGGGGCCCATTATCACATTGGAGAGCTGTATCCCAGATCTGCTTCTTTATATTCCCTTTGGCTTTTCTTATAAATCTCAAATTAAACAAAGCCAGAGGGGATATCCCAAAGGATAATTTTCTCTCCAATGCTCTTGCCCAGTCTAAGGGGAAGCTCTACTACTACTACTACTACTACTACTACTACTACTACTACTACTACTACTACTACTACTACTACTACTACTACTACTACTACTACTACTACTACTGGGAGTTAGGGACAAATTTTGTGATTCTGAGACAAAGTGTTTAGTGAAATAGCTGTTTTGTTAAATTCAATCTATAATTTGTAAGCTCCACACAAATTTTGTGAATTGGCAAGATGCTAGATTAAATCAATGGGACAAAGTTTCTCTTCTTTTTATGGTTCATCCTGGGACAGGAATATTTTCTAGTTTCCGTACATATCCTTTCGACTGAGTAAGTAGTACACAGTAGACTTAGGGGTTCTTCCTCTTTTATATGACCTTCTTCCTTGAAACTCTTAAATGTGTTTCCTTTCATATCCTGTCTTTGTCTTATCAGAAGGAGACATTCTGGGACAGTTCAGTGTTAATGAGGTTGATGGAGAATGGAGGATTGTTTCTAAGAAGCTTCTGAACAGGGAAGATACAGAAAAATACCTGCTCAAAGTCATGGCATCTGATGGAAAGTTTCAGGCAGCAACAGAAGTGGAGATCTCAGTCCTTGATGTCAATGATAACAGCCCTGAATGCAAGCAGGTGATTGTGTATGTCTACACTTCGTAGCGATTTGGATTGGAAGCAGACCTGGAGCAGATACATCGCATCATGGGGCAGTTATTTGAACAGTTAATGTGTCCTGACTTATTTGGTCCCTTCTGAATTAGATTGGCAGGAGATGCAGGACAGGTCCTGACTTATTTGGTCCCTTCTGAATTACTGTAGATTGGCAGAAGATGCAGGACAACCTCAAGTCATTCTGCTCCTTTAAAGACAAAATGGCAACCCCTTCATTCTTATGCAGAAACTGGATGGATTGGCAGTTGAACCTTTCTTCAGCTGCCAGTTGGATAGAGTTCTCCACCAATCAGTGGTCTATTAGCCAGGCCAGGGGCAGGGGCAACTCACACCACCACCATAGGATAAGGACACACACACACACATATCCAGACCTCAGGCCTCCATAATACCAAAAGGCAGCAATCCAATCTAGTAGCTTAGGAATTACACCACATGTTGTGTGTCACATACGGTTCTCATGTCAAAGAATGAGCTCAGGAAGGACAGCTAGGAGGCTGCCATTGCTTCTCACTTCCATTTGTTGCCTCAGGAACACTTTGCCTACTGCAGAGACACTGCAATAAATAAAATGAACTGGAGCAAACTGTGGTGTAGACTCCATGAATTCCTTGTGAAAAGGGAAATTAAATTACAGGGAAATTCTCTGGGGACATTTCCCCAGTAGGGGTGCAACTGAAAGGAAAGAGTAGAAGAGAAATACCTACATATTTTCGTTTAGAATTGTTGCAGCTGGTAATTAAGCCTTAAAAGAGACATTTCAGAACTTTGGAATTGGCAGCAAGAAGAGATTTACAAAAACCAAGAAACCACGAAATGTGGTGTCATAAAAACTTGGTTGCGGCTAAGGATGGGATTTTCAGGTTAATATGAATGGGGAAAAGTAAGAGGCTCTTACTTTTGGTTTTGGATTGTTTTGTTAATTTTCCATAGAGAACCTTTGAAATCCGAATGCTTCATTTTAAAGGAAGAGAAAATAACAAAAATTTAGGATTATTTTGTTTTTCTGTCTTTTGGTTGCCCGTTTCTTCATCTCTTGTCTCTCGACTTGCCTGCAAAGATTTAATCAAACCATTTAGAGAGATCTGCTGTCCACAGCTAGTCAGAATGTCTATAGGGAGGAGAGGAAATTTTGAATTGTATAAGGATTGCGATCGGTTGGAACCCAGTGAAGATTGTTCTTTGCTTTAGTCCTTCCTTGTGAGTGGGATCCATGTGCTGCTGAGCTGCCCAGCATCCTCTATCTTGATTTTGCTCTCTGCCTGTGTTGGTAGATCTTTTGCCTCTGGAGGAAAAGAGAGAAGATAGCAATGGTGTGGAGAGAGAAATCTATCCCTATTCTAGTCATTTTGCTTTGGGAAACTGTCTTTAACTGTATTATTACATTTATTTACTTCCCTGCTTTTCTTTCTTTTTTTGGAGAGGAGGCAGTTTATGTGTTTTTATTTTGCTTTTCCCTCTTGTATCTGTAGGTGGGGTCCTTGTTAGATTAATTTTTAAAAACTGTATTATTTAGTTAATTTAATTTGGATTGCTGGCCTTGCCCCTGGTTTGGTTTTGTTTTGTTGCTGTTTTTACTTATTAAAGGTTTTTTAGGGCTTTGAGGAAAATGTGATTCAAAACATGAATGGGTGTGTATGAAATGAAATAACCCAAAAGAACTTATCTCTTTCATATATTATCAAAAGGGCTGATACCTGAAAAACTTGAAAACTAGTAAGTCACCCCTTAAAAGAACCCAAAATGATTTAGACCCAAATGTTTTCCCATTGCACATCCATCGTTCTGGCCATCTGAGGTCGTTAAATTCAGCTCTTGAACCTTAGGTCCCCCACTCCTGCTTTATGGTCTTTGATGCCTCTGAACCTTGAGTATGTGCAATGTTCACTATGGCAACTGCACGTTGTCATGAAATATAGAATGCATAGAGAAACACCAAGAGAAAACCATGACAGTAATACGAAGAAGACCTATAAAAGAGATTTTTTTTGTATCACTTAAATCACTTGAGTTATTCTGAGATAGTTTCTCTGCAATGACATTTTCTACACAGTTGTCACTTTTGGACACATGAACACAATAAAATTCAAAGGGGGGTGAAAGGAGGCTTAATTTAAGTCCATGGGGCTGGACATATTTCAAATGAGAATTAGATACATGAGTCTGCTTTTTGGCAAAAGGTGGCCTGTAGCTGATCTTAGGGATCTCATTTGAGTTTCCTGATGGCCCTCTTCTCAAGCATCCATTAGACTCACATTTCCCTAGCCCCACCATTCATATTGGATTAATATAGTATTCCCATAGTCAGCTAGAACAATACGTAGCTGGAGGGAGTAGATGGTCCTGGCTTTGAGCATTTGAGTTAGGCTAGTTCTTTATGGCTCGTTGCTTCCTTTTTACAATTTGATACTATGATTTTACAAAAAGAGTGATCTGCATGAGAAATGGCCAGTTCATTGTTGTTTGGAATCGCATCTGTGAACAAATCTGAGGTGGCCCCTTTGCATTTCATGGCATTGGAATAATCATTTTGCTTTATGAGATACTTTTTTTCCTTCATTATTTTTCCAGACACCATACCAAGGCAAAGTTTCAGAAGATGCACCACAAGGGTTTTCTGTTTTGAAAGTATCAGCCAGAGATGCTGATGTCGGCAGCAATGGCCAAATTACATATAGTCTCCATGGACCTGGTGCTGAAGAGTTCCGGTTGGACCCTCATACAGGTAGGAATGCAATCTACCAACACAGAGAGAAAGGTTATCAAAAATATATCTTCATTGTGTAAAATGTTGGTATTTATGAAAAATTCCTTAGTTGAACTGAAACCTTTAGTTTCCTGTGAACAAAAAAAATAGAGATGTGTGTCCAGATTCAGAATATTCAGAATTCATCAAATAATGCCATATTTAAAGTTCATTGTTGTTTGGAATCGCATCTGTGAACAAATCTGAGGTGGCCCCTTTGCATTTCATGGCATTGGAATAATCATTTTGCTTTATGAGATACTTTTTTTCCTTCATTATTTTTCCAGACACCATACCAAGGCAAAGTTTCAGAAGATGCACCACAAGGGTTTTCTGTTTTGAAAGTATCAGCCAGAGATGCTGATGTCGGCAGCAATGGCCAAATTACATATAGTCTCCATGGACCTGGTGCTGAAGAGTTCCGGTTGGACCCTCATACAGGTAGGAATGGAATCTACCAACACAGAGAGAAAGGTTATCAAAAAAAATTGGGGGGACAACAGACCCCAGGGTTCTTTAACCAGTTCAGCTACTAAACTGTAGTCATAGGAATTCTGGGAGTTCCAGTCCAAAGAAAGTGACATTACCAAGCTACACGGTCTTCACATGGTTCCTTGCACAAGCACTGGAGGCCAGAATGTTATTCCTACATACTGCACAGAAGGCAGAGAGGTTTTCCCGCACAGTTATTTTCTAGTTATGTGACCTAGCTTGGATTCATACCTGTGAAGTTGTCTGACAGCTAAATATCATAACATGGAAAAGCTTCTATGAAGAATTCAAACTCAGACAAGAAAAATGTTAGAGCCCAAAAAACACACAACAACCAATGTTAGTTCTCATTAATAAGGACCTGCCCCTCTTCTCAAAATAATATGTATTTCTGAGGAGTGTGGGCAGTTCTACCTCATGTGGCTACAATCTGGCTTGTTTAAAAAGAAGTTGCCTGGGATAGCCCAGCTACCTTTAAAAAATGGACTTCATACATAAAAATACAGCCTCCACCAAACTGTGAAGTGGTCTTTCCCAAAGACAAAGTCTAGAGAAATGAGTTTTCATTAAAGCTCACACTGAATTAAACTTGTTCAAGTAGCTTAGTAGCTTCAAGTAGAATAGGCCCATTGAATCAGTGGGGATTTGGTGTGTCAACTCCTCTGTACGTTCCGTTGAGCCAAAGGGCCTACACTAGTTGTGATTTATTGTGCTAAGCAAGAAGATTTCAGCTAACAATTCCTATCTCAAAAGAGGTTTATATCCTATTAGCCTGGTAATGACTGTTTCCACTGCAATCATTTCCTAATGTTGAGGTACTGCTGGCTGTTGGTGTGCACTCTTTTGGTTTGGCACAATCACTGAAAAGCTGTCAGAAGACACAGATAAATCTTTTGAAAATGTTTTGCCTCTTTGTGCTTTTATGAATAGGAAAACAATGACTGTGTAATATTCCTACTGGTTGCAATAGAGTTCCAAACATCCAGAAATTCTGAATTTTTTAAATTTCAAAATCTAAACCCAAAGGGCTGTAATTCTGAATCTGAATTTTGGTGCTAGTGCACATCCCTACAAAACAACTCTCTGTGTTGTCTTTATCATATTTCTAGCATAAATGAGGACCTGTTAAATTCACTTATGTTTCATTTTTTAAAATGCCTTTTCTTTAAGGGCTGAGAAAAGTCTTAGGAGATAGAGAAGATGTTATCTCTTGCATAAAGACAGACATGTATATATCATTTTCTATACAACTGAAACTATTTCATAAAATTTTCAAGAAACCTCATAAATTTCTATGACCCTGTGAAATCTCTATGCCACTTTTTATTTCACTAGGGGAGCTGACCACTTTTGCATTACTGGATCGGGAGCTCATATCTAAGTACCAGCTTGTTGCCAAGGCAACAGATGGAGGAGGGCGTTTTTGCCAGGTGGACGTAATTGTGGACATCGAGGATACAAATGACAGTCCTCCACAGTTCTTTCCCAGTCAATGTGCAGTAGCCATATTTGATAACACCACAGTAAAGACACCAGTTGCAGTCGTCTTTGCAAGGGACCCTGATGAAGGTAAACAAGAATGTTTGGAACAAGCATTTGAAAAACCTTTGGAACAGAGGGCTTCCTCAACTGAAGAAGTTTAGCTTGTTGGTGTGACTGTATCTTTAAAAGCATGTGCATTTTGAGTGTGTTGTGTAACCTAGCTTAGCTGACCTTTAAAAAAAATAAATTCACAATATGTAGGAAACAGTCTCTGTATTCATAGTTAAAGACAGAGAAAAGAACTAATTTAAGAGTGTATGAGAGAATATGTTCTTGGAGTTAAATGCTTCTGAAACCTGAAATGTAACTGTCCAGTGAGTTTTCATTTGTGTGCTTAGTTGTACCTAGAGAGAGGTAAACAAGATTTGTAAGGGAAAGGAACTGTTAAGAGTTGCGAAGGAGATATCACCATTCTCCTGATAGTATCATTTAAATGGGTACTGCTCTTTACATCTACACAGGTTCATATTACAAATAAATAATGTAAATGACTAGCTGCAGCAGGCCATTCACTGTAGAAGACAACTGTCTTTCCTCATTGTTTCTCATAACAACAATTTACCATAAAACCTTATTGTTTTATAGATTTGATATAGCCATTCCGTTCCTGAAGGCTGGCTGTCTAATGTAAATAATTTTTGGTATAACAAGGATATCAAAAATGCACAAATATGTATACATGGAGCATGCTCTTAGCAGGATTATAAAATATCCTTATTCAAGATATCCTCTGAAATTAATCACCATTTCCCAAAATTCACTGGCCCTTAGATTCTCACCAGAAACTCTCCCTTTATGCATTACTGTCGTTATGTAACTTTTTCTAAAATTTAAACAGGCTAAGAATCTTGAATCCTTGCTAGACAGAAAGTAATCCTACCTGTATTGGAGTTTGCTAAAGATAATGTTGATGGTTTTAAATAAATAAATAAATAAACAGACAGACAGAAAAAGCAATCATACCTGTATTGGAGTTTGCTAAAGATAATATTGATGATTTTGATATTTGGGATTTAACCTTGGGAGAATCCAAAGTTTTTAACAAAGGATATCATCTAGTAAAATTCCTTTTCCTTAGTCATATCTTTTTAAAACACTCCAACATTTTAAAAGATGCATCTGCCCTTTTTTTGGGCCACGACAGTATTCCTAATCCACATGTACTTTTAAAACTGAACACAGTAATCTTCTACTCTGCTGTATCTTTGTCAGATGAATTCAATCAGTGTGATCACGTTATATTACCAGTAAATGAATCCCACTACCTTTTGTTCCAGGTTAAATCCCGGTCTCAAGTTTCTGAGACAGAAAATGCAATGTCAGAGGATGGTTTCTTCTCAGTTTGCCCTCTGTTATATAATGATTCCCAAATCAAATTGTCTATCCGTTAATGTTTCTGTCTCTCATGTGTTGTTGCTTTTCCAGGCCATAATTCAGAAGTACTCAAATCAAATTGTCTATCCGTTAATGTTTCTCTCATGTGTTGTTGCTTTTGCAGGCCATAATTCAGAAGTACTTTCTTGCTGAGAATTGTCTATCCGTTAATGTTTCTGTCTCTCATGTGTTGTTGCTTTTCCAGGCCATAATTCAGAAGTACTCTACTCTCTTGCTGAGTCAGCTGATGGCCACTTTTCAATTGAGGAAACAACTGGTGTGATCCGACTGGAGAAGCCCCTAAGGGAGTTGCAGGCATCTGCACTAGACTTAACTGTGTGTGCCACAGACAAGGGTTCTCCACACACCCTTTCTAGTTTTTCTACTGTCTCAGTCTCCATAGTGGACCTGGAGGAATATCTGCCAGTGTTTCTAGACACAGAATATGTGATTGTGGTACGAGAAGATGTGGCTGTTGGCACAGAGATTCTGAATCTGTCTTCATTGACAAGGGACAATGTTCAAGGCTCAGAGATCAAATATGAAATTACGAATGGAAATAATAATGGGATGTTCAGGTTGCACTCAAGCACAGGTAAGTCATCCAAATGGGATGTAATTAAGGCATGTATCACTATAGCCAGATCAGACATCTAAAGCAGTGGTGTCCAACCTTGGCCCTCCAGATGTTCTTAGACTACAGCTCCCAGAAGCCTTCACCACCACCTCTGCTGGCCAGGATTTCTGGGAGTTGAAGTCCAAGAACACCTGGAGGGCCAAGGTTGGACACCACTGATCTAAAGGAATGGGTATAGCCGGCAAATGTACTCCTGGCCACTGTGGAGACCTAGGCATCCAGGCTCAGGAGCAAATCCAGGAGCACATTCAAGCTGTGCACCTGTGTTTTCAGGGGGAGTGTAACTCCATCAAGCACAGGCAGAATCCCTGTTCCCTGATCTGCCTTTCAACTGACCCAGGAGTGCCTCTGTCTTGTCTGGATTAGGCTTTAGATTAGTTACCCCCATCCAGTCCAGTACTGACACCAGGTACCAATTCAAAACCTAAACCAGCCTCCTTGGATTTTGATGGAGATTAAAGGTAGAGTTGGGTGTCATCTACATGCTGGTGATTCCAAACTCCAAAACGTCACACAGCCTCTCCCAATGTTAAATAGCACGGGGGGGGGGCAGAGTCCTGAGGGACACCACAGGCTAACCGGTGTGTAAAACTGGAGTCCCCCCAGCACCACCTTCTGAGCTCTCTCTCTCAGAAGAGGCCAGAGCCAGTGTAAAACCATGCCTTCAAGAACCATCCCAGAGAGATAGGCCATAAGGATACGATGGTCAATAGTATTGAAAGCTACTGAGAGGTCCAGCAAATTCAAGAGAGTCACACTCTCCCTGTTCAGTTCCTGGAGCAGGTCATCCACCATGATGATTGGAGCAGTTTCTGTCCCACAGCCAGATCTGAAGCCAGACTCAAATGAATCTAAATAATCTGTTTTATCTGGGAATCCTTGGATTTGAGAAACTAGCACACGCTTCAATGCCTTGCCCAGAGATGAGACTGATAACTATCCAATACCATGGGATTCAAGGAGCAATTTTTCAGTTGTAGTCTTACTATTTCTTACTTTAAGTATGCTGTGATCCTGCCCTGCTTCAAGGAGGTATTCACCTCTTACCAACTCAGCCATTCCCTCTTTGGCTGCTTTTATAAGCAGAAAGGGCAAAGATCCAACATATATGTAGTAGCTCTCACCTCTCCAAGGGTCCTGTCCACCTCAGGCTGCAGGAACTGAAACTTATTCTTTAACACAGGACAAGCAGGGGCCAAATTTACATCCATAGGAGCTGTGTCAACTACTGCTTTCAAGGTGGAGTGGATCTGCAAAGTGATCTTCTCACTGCAGAGTGTTATTCACAGTGGGCTCTTGAGTGGGCTGAATTCTCTTCATATGAGCCAGCATGTAATGGACCTTTGACAACTTGAGATAATTTCACTAGGCAGCTCTTTGCAGATGTCATGATGGCAGATGAGCCATCTACCACTGGCATGGAGTAGGCCTTCTTATAGACTCTAGCCAGTGTTTGGTCATATTCACTCCTAAATGAATTCATTCTTTTCCACCATTGTCACACTGGTCTCTGTCATTTCACCACTACTTGTTTCATCACCACCAGTTCCCTAGTGAACCAAGAGGCCAGTTTGGCTCCTCTCTATGGGAGGGACTCTTAGGAGTGATTGGGTCAATGGCACTGGCCAATTCCAGAGGTCAACCAGGACTTCAGTAGGATTGCCTTTTGAGGGAGCAGGAAGCTCCTAAAGAGTCAGCAGGAAACCATTTCGATCCATCAGCCTCCTGGGGCACACCATCTTAATAGAGCCCCCCATTTCCCACCGAGGCTCTGACTTCCACTAAGTCTAGACCCATCCAGGTAGTGATCTGTCTATGACAATTAAACAATAGAGATGACCTCTGCATGCTGTCTCCAGGCCTCCAAAATCATATAGTATATATCCCATGTTTAGGAAATTCCTTATTGTTTTGTCTCTGTCTCTATACAGGCATCCTGTATGTTAATGGAAGTCTGGATTTTGAAGTTAACCATGAATATTATTTATCTGTTGAGGGTATACGGAAAGGCTCGACTTCTCTCAGTGACATAACCATGGTTGTGATCAACATCACAGATGTAAATGATCATGTACCAGTGTTCAGCCAAGACCTTTATATTGCTGATATCCGTGAGGATGCTGCCATTGGTGAAATGGTGCTCAGAGTAAGTTGGAACAAGACATTTCATTATTGGTTACTCAGCCATAGGGAGAACTTTATTACAAATATGTATTCCAGTGGCTTCTGTGAAAGTCAATGCATTGGGCATTATGTATGCTTACAATCAAACAATCAAACAATCAGCCCTTGCCTTTGGTGGTAAAGCCCTCTTAGAGTTGCTGTAAATTGCTTCCACTTTGACAGCACAAAACACACACAGCAAAGTGTGGTGCTGCAGCTAATTTTGAGTTGCAACTTCATAAGATTGTATTACTTTCTTTTAAAAATCCTTTCCTGCAACTTTTTGTTTTAAGCTCTACTTATTCTAGTATGACGAGCCACACAACAGTTGATCATTTCCTATGAAAGCATACTTGTAATTATAATCCAGGTCTTTTTCTTTCAATAGGTCTTTGCTGATGACAAAGATGGGATGATGAACAACCAGATTATATATTCAATTGTGGCTGGGAATCCACTGGGCCATTTTATCATTGACCCCAAAGCAGGAGAGATATATACTGCCAAGTATTTGGACAGGGAGGAGGTGAGTGGTAGGACCTGAGAATGAAACTCTTTTGGGGGTTGAGACTGAAAAATGAAATATTTTAGTCACATATTTACAAAGGAGGAGAGGAAATGTCCACAATTATGAGAGACATTGATGGTGTCCATCAGCCCCAACAATCATAGTTCATTTAAAAGAGCCACTTGCCATTCATGGAACTTAGAAATCACCCAAAGTATCAACACTACTTTAAAGAAGCAGCAAGAACTACATTATCAATGGAATGACAGTAGAATCCAGTGATTAGCATATGGACTTGCTCATAAAGATATTTGTAGTTCCTGAGTTTGATGAATAAAACTCCTTTCTGTCTATCTTCTGTGAATTATGGTATTCACTTATGTAAAAGAGGAATGATGCAATATTCCTAATCTAGCCTCCTCTAAACTTTATCTCATTTGATTTATTAGATATAGACAGAAATAACTGCCAAGAAATAAAGCACTTTGTTAACCTGTCTCTCTGCTATTGGTCCTTCTGAAACTCCTAGCATCCCCTTGTAACAAGAACAATTCTAATTGGAATAGAGGCCCAATAATCAAGAGACTCATACCAATGAATCACAGCTGCATAGCTATCAGGAACTTAAAAGTGATCAGTGTCACAAGTCCAGTGAAATAACAGAAACTAAGAATGAAAAGGCTGTGACTGAAACTTCACTTCATCCTTACTATTTTGGTTAATAGTTGTTGGAAGAACCCAGCCTTCTCAGTGCAAATGTCATGTTTTCTAGGTATCCAGCTATTCTCTGCAAGTCCGAGCAACAGACAATGGACAGACAGCTCTTTCCAGTGACACCGCTGTACTCATTCGTGTATCTGATGTCAATGATAATCCACCAAGGTTCTTTCAGCTCAATTACAGTGTGGCAGTTCAGGTAAAGTAATAGTTCAGAGGCACCAGTCTTACTTAGTTACGCTTTTTCAGAGATAACCTACTTAACTGGGTTACCTAGTGTCTAAAAGGCTACAAAAGCTTAGAAGGAGTGACACAATGATCTGCTGAAATCAGAGACTGCCTAAGTTAACTTCTATTGCATTCACAAATGTCAAAAACAAGGCAACATCCACATCTGGTCAATAGATTTATCATTAAAAAAGCAGACTAAAGGTTGATCATACAGGTAGGCAAGGGGAAAATATTCTTTATGGAAGCCAGGAGGTTTTACTACATCTGCTTCATCCAAACGTGCATATCTTTGACACTTTAGTTTTTGAGATCGTCTTTATGGTTAAAGCCATATATCTTTGCCCATTTTACCTCAGTTATCCTGTCCTCTAACCCAAAGTAGCTGTTCTGCTTCTACCTGCTTCTCTCGAATTTTGTTTTTAAAACATTTCAGGAGAACTCTCCAGTTGGCACCAGTGTCCTAGAGCTGATCATGAGCGACAGGGACTCACCAAGGAATGGACCACCATATTCTTTCCAGATCACTGAAGGAAATGAAGGAAAGGCATTTCAGATCAACCAGGATGGTGTGCTGGTGACCTCGATCATCCTGAACAGAAGAACAAAAGAACAATACCTTCTCCAAGTCCAGGTAAGTCTGTTTTAGGGGGAAAATTTACCTTACATGATAGAACTCTGATTGGATCTTCCAGCATTTTATTTTTGATGCCATGTAGGCTTGGGTGTGGAGGTTGCAGTCTTATTACAGCAGTAGCTCCGGGGAGAGTGTGTTTTACTTCTGGGCTGTTCGCCCTATCGAAATCAAAACTGTCAGATCTTATTTGTCCAAATAAGCCAAAACACAAGCTTGGAGTGAGGATATTGATTGCAAAATTGTGTGTTGGATAGGGTTAAAATCTCTCAAAGTGCAGCTGTTCTGACAAAATTTGCAGATCTTCTACAGCTTTGTTTTAAAGGCAGGCAGGCAGGCAGGTAGAGCCAGTCATATACCTTCTGTGTAGCAAATTATTTGGCAGTTATTTTTCAGACATACCTATGTAGTCCGGTACAGTAATAATAGTATCTAAGGGAATTAGATGCAGTCCCTTGGTATGCTAAAGGTGCATGTGAAGACAAGTAAATCTTATGTAAATATTTTTTTTCTGTTTAAATATTTCCTGTTTCAATTGGTAGCTTGGCTTGGTGATGAAAGAAAGGTGAACATTAAGCAGATTATTAAAACTCAGAGTCATCTAATGAGGTTGAATGATGATAAATTCAGGAGAGAAAAAGCTTCTTCTTACAGTGAATTGTTATCTGCAGCTGCCAAATGTGGTGATGACCATGAGTAATGGTTTTAGATTAGGCATCCTTCAGTCTCGAGAGACTATGGTAATGTGCTCTCTATGGAGGACTTGGAACAGCATCTAGTGTGGCTGAGGAGGCCAATTCAAGAGTGACAATCTCTTCTACACTGAAGACAAATCCAATCCAGCTCCCTGATTTTGCTGGTTTCGGGACTGCCTCTTTGCCTCAGTCTGCTGGACAAGGGTCTCTTCAAATTGGGAGAGGCCATGATGCACCGCCTGCCTCCAGGTTGAATACTCAGATCACAATGTTTCCCATCTGTTGAGGTCCATTCCTGAGGCCTTCAGATCCCACTTGAGTAATGGTTAGATGGCTTTAAAAGGGATTGGACAAATATATGGAGAAAGCATCTGCCAGAGGCTCCTAGTCACTTAGAGTCAGTGGCAGGATGATGCCAAATAGTAAGTTTGTATAAACCTCTGCTTTTTCCAAGGCTCAAAGCAAAATAGAATTCAGAAAGTGAGTAAAAAAATAGGGAAAAATTGGGTGGTAGTTCACACCTCATAGCAACATCCTGTATCTTTCAGTTCTGGGCATTCTGTGGTAGCTTTTTAATGTATAGATTTATAAGTGCAGGTTCAGTGGAAACATGCTGTTTGGAGAAGAATGCAAATGTTGAGCTCATCAGAAAAAGCATAGGTTTCTAGTGGATTCAGAAAGAGAAGGAAGAAGCCTGCAAGAAACAGGATGAGTGCAAGTGCTAATGCTGAGTTGTGATGGTTTGCTTCATTTTCCTGGTCACAGGTCACAGATAGTGGTATCCCTCCTCTGTCTTCATCTTCATTTGTAAGCATCCAGGTGACACAGCAAAGCAGATACCCTCCTTCTGTACTTCCACTGGAGATTCTAATCACAACTAATGAAAGAGCTTTCCGAGGAGGTGTTCTTGGGAAAATTCATGCTACAGACCGAGACCCCCATGACACTTTGCAATACACCTTGGCATCAGAAGCACCAGAAAAGAGACACTTCTCAGTGGGAGCTACAGATGGGAAGATCATTGCTGGTGATGGACTCCCACATGGCCACTACACTCTGAATGTAACTGTCAGTGATGGGACATTTGGAGCTACAACTAATGTCCATATCCACGTGTGGTCCTTCAGCCAGGAGGCTTTGGATAAGGCTGTGGTGCTACATTTCCACCATCTTACCCCTGAGGAATTCATTGGGGATCATTGGCGCAACCTCCAAAGGTTTCTGGGAAGCATCCTAGATACCCAGCGGCATAACATTCACATGGCTAGTTTGCAACCGTCTGCTGCTTCTGATGGGGTGGACCTTCTGCTAGCAATTGGAGAACCTCGCCATGCATTCTATAAGCCCAATTACATTGTGGGCAGGATTTCTCAGTCAACCGAAGAGATGGATCAGCGAGTAGGGCTGCAGGTGAAGAAGGTGACTCATGTCCCATGTCAAGAGGCAGACTGTACCACTCAGCGTGCTTGCAGAGAGACAATTCAGCTTGACCCAGGCATGGTGTTCACCTACAGTACTGCTCGACTCAGTGTTCTTACTCCTCGGCATAATTTGGAACAGATATGTTCGTGCAATGGTAAGAAAGACTTTTTATTAACCCCCTCCTTCTTACCTTCATGAAAATATTCCAGGATTTCCTATCAATCTCCTTCACCTTGTGGTAGATGTTTTGGCTTGGTTTTGTAAATATTGATGGCTTTTTCTTCATGTTTCCTGCAGTGTGTATATTCTTGTATGTAATAATGACAAGAACACCCTTAACCAGGACTCGAATTAGGCCCACAAGAAAAAGCATTTATCTCAAAAAACTCAGGGAATAGTTAGGTTAATTTTAAAGACACATCTAAACCTAGTCATCTAAACCTAGTTTACTGATGATTATGTCACCAGAAATTCAATAGCATCCAGTATGAGCTCCCATCCCTTTGAAAATCTACCTTGTCTACCTAGCTTTATCTTCTCCCCTATCCCACCCTACACTCGTTCCATCTCCTACACACCCATTTTCCTGGGTTGTTGCTCCTGGAAGGGAGATCTCTTTGTCTTCTGTCTCTGACCCTTGTTCTGCTGTGGTTTTCCCAGTGCTGCTGGGAAATGTTGGATTCCTGTCCCAACTGGAGAGAAAAAAGGATGGGCCAAGCACTGTAAACCATCCACATTTGAGATAGGAAAAATTAATCTTGGCAACAGATTCCCTCCCTGCCCTTCTGAAGTGTGGTTTTGAGGGACCTCTTGGGAGTAATGCAGGAAAGTCACCTATTTGTATGGAGCTGCATGGGAACCTTTATACTGTAGGGAAAAATGATGGTATGCTTTGGTTTAGTGAATACAAAGACTGAGCTATTAATCAAGAAGTTCCTGGTTCAAGTATTTTCTTTGCTGTGAAATCATGGGTTGACTTTATACAAGGCAATCTTTTATCAGTATTTAGAGACAGGGGTATTCGAATACAAATACCCCCGCACAGGTGGACATAATGAGGGTCCATTCCTTAGAGGGTTCTTCTAAAATGGGGGTGGGAAGCTTATAGTCTTTCAG